AGGTCTCTTCTAACCTGGTTGATTCCATGATTCAGCCAAAACTCACACAGTAAGTGAAGCTGTCAGATTTGCTGGCATTGAACAATCACTAGACACTAGTGACACCAGGGTAACAAAGCCATGATATTGCAATAAATCCTGAGTACATTGAGTGGCTCTTCTTCTATTTTATTGTCAGTAACAAATACAGTGAGGTACAGGGCACACAGCTTTGGGCACTGCACCACAGTGTGCTAAGTGCTATACAGAACAGAAACTCATTTTTAAGCAAACATGAGTGTTCTAATGAGTATCTCAACACCTCCGTGGCTGCTGAATAATGTAAATTCTTTTAGGCACAATGAACTTCTCCAGGGTAGGCTGTGGCTTTTGGTGAGCCACTTGCAATGCTGCTGCATGAATTTTGTGGGTCATCTGGAACATTAGAGGGGGAGAAAAAAGAGTTGTGATAGAATACAGCTAGTCAGCTATTCTCTTCCTGAATTTCATCACAGAAAACTAGTGCAAAAATAGTAGTAGAACCTAAACCCACAAAACGTTCAAGTGATCAATATGTTAAACTCATGGAGACTCAGTATATTTAGCTATAATTTCTGCTTTCAAAGTAATATTAGTCTGACCATCTTCGGTGAACTTTCCATTTTTTGTTCCTTTCTTTAGTAGTTCACAGCGTGAGCTGCCAAGATGAGGAGACCACAGCAAAGCACCAGTATGACAGAGTTAACAGTAAGTTGATTCAAACTCTCATTTTCCCAGGTTCAAAATCATCATCATTACAGTATGGAATGATCACTCCCTACATACTGAGGAAGCTTCATGTGTGACAATCAGCAGAAGAAGGGAAGGGTAGGTCAGAACAGCTGGGGACAGGTGGAGGAGAGACAGGATGAGTCGTGTGTGTTCTCCTTAAACAAGTCTAAGCAAAACCTCAAGATCGACCGACTGAAGCTATAAACACATCTGCTGATGAAAGGCTGTGTTGAGATGATGCAACTGATGTTCTGCTGAGCTCTAGGGATGAGGAACTCTTGTATGCTTTGGTATCTGAAGACTGCAAGTGTATACACAATAGATGGTGACTGAGAGACCTTCAGATTCCCACACAAATCAGAGCTGCTGGCTGAATCATCTCCTGCACAGTGCAGGCGTCAGACACGGGTACCCAACCACCCCAGGGGCACTCATGTCTGCTGGGAACAGAACCAAGCAGCAGAGCAGGGGGGGAAGGCTTTCACCATCTCAGCCACAGCACCACAAACACATCATCTCAGCAACACTCAGTGGCAGTGACACCTGCACCGCCAGAGAGCAGCTTCAGGAAAACTCACTTTGTGACTTTTTACCTGTTTAGCTTTATGGAGAAGCCCTGACTTGTCCTGCCAGACTTACTTACTTTGCTCAGTGCTTCTGCCACCGAGACCCCCATGTTCTGAGGCTTTGAAAAGCTGGCAACAGCACTGGAAAGCAGAGGGAAAAAAAGCATTTAGCATTTCCACCCCACAGAAACACTTGTCACTTTCATTTACCAGACTTAATACAAAACATTTTTCAACAGAAAAGTTTTGGAGCCAACTCCTTTACTCACATGAAGAACTCTATAACACCAAGGGGAGGAGTGCTGTTTGAGGACAACACCACAGAATCTGTGTGGCAGCTGTTTCAGGCATGTATCAAATACCCTTAAATATCTCAAAAGGGTGTTTTTGGTACACTGTGGAATAGCTTCGCAGAAGCTGAGCACTGATACCCTGAACCACAAAATCCAGCTTGGTAATTGCCTTGATTCCAAGCTGTGATATTTAGGAAGAATATGTGTATTTTGGAAGGGAAAAAAAATAATCAGTCATTGTTTGAAAAATCTGTAAGAAAATACTTGTTTTGATAACCACATCAAAGAGTCACTGATAGTTTATTCGAAAGTAGAATCATGCCTTCATTTTGGGGGCACAATGGCTTGATTAGCCTTATGAAGCAGCAGAGAGAAAAAGCCAAATTAGAGTTCAGATTGAAACAGGGGTGCAGAGTGTCCAGGAGATAACAGACTGTGCCGGGGGTGGGAGGTGCGAGTTTAACTTCCTTCAGAACGTGCACAGCCTAAAATTCATTCTTATTTCACTAGAAACTGACCATTACTTTATTAGGTATAGTTAGGGAACACGTTGGTTCAGTTTCTGTTCCATCACACATGACAGTAGAGACGAGACTCAGCCTCAGCCTTTCATGGCAAGGCACTGTCCTTGGGGCCCAAAGTTGTTTGGGTTTTGGGGTGTTTCTTCAGTGGATAATTATTTCAAAGCTGCCTCTTATCTACAAATGGCATGAGTTAATTTAAGAATTGAACTCCCAGAAATGAAGAGTTTCCTTTCTTTCCAAAGCCCATTGTCTGTGGACTTTACCTACAGGGCAGGGGGAGCAGGCCCTGCAGTGCAGTACCTTGACTTTTCTCTTCCTGAAGGTTTAGCACTCTTCTCAACAGGACCATTTTCTTGCCTTTTAGACACTCTCATTCCTCCAGCTTTAACTGCAAGAAGAAAGTACAATCTAAGTAAAACTATCTACTGAATTATATCCCACATGACAGACACTTCCCCCAGAAATTATTACACTGAGATTTGTACTTTAAATACAGCAAAGAGAAACAAACATCTAAACACTCTCAGGTTTCTGAGCAATGTCACTAACAGCAGCAAAGGTTTTGTGAGTAGTTCAAGGTGTTCTAGCATAAACCCAGCAATGCAGAGAGGAGCCAGCTGCTCACTTACCTTGTACTTGTGTCCCAACACAGTTAATTACATTTGATTAAAATACCTGCCAGTCACAAAACCAATTAGCACTAATTAAGCTCCGGGCGACCTAACAATAACAATTTTGAGTTCTGAGGCATGCCTGAAAATTCAATTCTCAACAAAGAGCACGCAAAGTTACCCAAAACTTTCTCTTGAAAGAAAGATTTCCTCCCCCTTCAGGAGAGTACTTTTAGTTTTCAAACTGTGAGATGGAACCACCACTGCTGCATGAGTGGCCAATTAATTGCCCAAACACCTCACAGCTGCAAATACTCTTCAGACCTACAACCAAATCCTTCTGGCAGTCGGTCTAACCTCAAGAGGAAAAACCTCTGAAATGGAAGCACCAAACATTTCCAATCATACACCGTAAAGAGAATCAAGTTTCCCTCCACAGACTGTTAGGTGCTTAGACCTCTTGTCTATTTAGGAATCCTACCAGCAGCTCCGCAGAGAAACGTTCGTTACAGCGATCAGCACCAGCCCAACTCCCTCAGCCTGTGCCAACAGCGAGCGGCTCTGCATTTTCCCTGCCTGGGGAACGGGCTCGGCTCGGGGAAAACCTTCGACACTGCTTGGGGAACGGGCTCGGCTCGGGGAAAACCTTCGACACTGCCTGGGGAACGGGCTCGGCTCGGGGAAAACCTTCGACACTGCTTGGGGAACGGGCTCGGCTCGGGGAGAAACTTCGACACTGCTTGGGGAACGGGCTCGGCTCGGGGAAAAAACTTCTATACCGCCTGGGGAACGGGCTCGGCTCGGGGTTTTCGCCAGTGCCTGCAGGACAGGCAATCGAACGGTGCCCAGGCCGTTACTGGTTCCATGGTTAAAACACCAGTGTTTTTAAAGCGAAGAGAGCAGTAAGGAGGAACATCCCCTAACACGCTCACCGGGGGCGGCGCGGGCACAACGGCCCCAAGCTCCGAGCCCTCAGCA